GGCTTTCCTTGTTCCAAGTTTTGGAAGGGCAGTTTCCATCCTTCTTGTTGGAGCGGCTTGTGAGGGCGTTGTGTGTGTTGCTGGAGGTTCATGTTCTCTCCCTGTGCCCTTCCCGGCTCCGGTGCCGCCCCCCCCCGCACACGACCGGGCTGGGCCGCGGTCCCGGCCCGGTGACCTGCCTTGTGGAGCCCCGGCTTCCAGCTTCCCTCCCGAGCCAGGCCTAGGTGACACAGCCCTGCCCTCCTTGTCTCCTTATGCCCCCGAGGTTCTCCCGTCGGTAACAATGAGACATTTACCCATCGCAGGCACATGCTGCATAATAAACTCTTTATTGGGAAGAAGTTCTGTTGTTGGGACAGGACGCCACGATTATGTTTCTTACTGAGAAAACCATTTTCTCTGCCCTGCTGTTTCTGGCCTTCTTTTTTCATCTGACTCTTGCATCCATCTTCCTTTAACTTGCCTGCCTCACTTAAGCAATAAATCAGCTACTCTAGTATAACTTATTCAGACTGATTACTCCTATTGGTTAGTCTCTTGAGAAGGACTGACTCTGAGCAGCCTCTTGAGTTTTTCTGAGATTGCTTTGGCTGCTGCTGGTTTTTAAAGTGGCTACATCCAGTATATTACAAAAAAAAATACCTGAAAACCACTGTGTTGGTATTCCTTTTTATGATGCATGCCAAGCTCACTTGTCAAAGACAACATTAAGTACCAAGCGGTTTTTGATTATGCATGTTTATGACCAGAAATTAAAAAAATAACTCTAATACTGTATTAGGCCAATCCTGGCCACTGTAGAGGTTTTGCCTTTAATTATACAGCTACTTGAGTAGGGATACTGTGTAAAAAAGAGAGGTTGTGGAAATTGTTGTCCTTTTGAGTATCTTCTGAACAAGGACTGAAGAAATTGTTAATTATGAAGTTGTATTTTTCATGCATTGTCCCTGGTATTTAGGAACAGACATTGAAGTGCACAGTTGTCTTTATCTGAAGATGCAGGTTGAACATAACAATGCAGATCTGATCCTGTGTGAAATTTGTTTTGATGTTAGTTTTCCCTCTAAGGCTACAGGTTGTCAGAGTTCACAAGGTAATTTAAAAGCCTTAAGAAATCTCTTAGCAGGCTTGTTTGTGCAGTTGGACGACTTGCATCATCTCAGTTGGCCAAGTGCAATCCTTTTTTTTTTCCCTCCCCCATCTTCATCCAGCACTGAAGGAATTAAATGAGAACACTGTCCTTCTCCTTTCCCTGTTTTTTTTTTTAAGTTGCTTATATTCAGTCACACTGGAGTTTGAATTTTTTCACTGCTGTGTAAATCCCTGGGGTTAGAACATAGGTTGTCATCTGCATTATTTTGATTGTGATACAGGAAATCTAGTCAAAAGAAGTACTGTTGGTCTGTTCATTAATGAATTTGCTGTGCTTTAACCTTCAAAACTATAAATTAGTTTTGTTTTTGTTTTTTAAATATTAGTAGCAGTAGTGAAACTAAGTGGCTTTTCCTGAAGTGTTTCCCTTGCACTGATTTGTCATCTTCCTCTGTTTGCAATTAAAAAAAATTAGTAGGTGAAACCTTTATTTGAAAGCATGGATGGCAATTTCTGTTTAGAGTAACTGAGCCTTTCCTCTCTCAAATTCAGACATTACAATGACAACTGTACTTTTAACTCTTCAGAATCATACTGGTCAACTACGATTGTGTTAATGTCACATGGGTGTGATGGGATGACAAGAAAGCTGGAAATTATGCTGATGCCACATGGAACAGTAATTCTCGTATAATTGCGTTATACCATGTGGAGCCTTTTCAGGAGAATTGTAAAACAGAGCACTGAGGATTGGCTTTGAGGAAGTAGCAGTGGGTGGTCTGTAGAAGCAGTTTATAAATAGTCTGTGTAAAATGAACTGGCAGGAATTGCTTTTCTGAATCTCACTTAGGAAGATAACAATTGAGTTTGCTTGGAGTAACTCAGTTCCTGTTGCCTTTTTTTTTTTTTGCTGTCTCTAATGTAAACAATACTTCTTTGAAAGGTAGTATAGTATTGCTCTACTAGTACTGTCTTGTGTGTTTTATAGATATATAAACTTTAGCCAGCTTGGCTGATGCTTATGTCTGCTCATTTAGGGGAAATGAGCTATCCCTTAGAACATCTGCTTGGAACTTAATACTGTGATGACATTTTGTAATCTTTTGTTGTAAAAGTATCATTTGTTTCCCTTGCTCTGTATTTCTGCCTGTAAAGAACTCGATGAAGGGAGAGTTCTTTTTCTCTGAAATCCTTGAAAGTGCTTAAATTACTTAAAGGTGTGGTGGTTTCCCTTGTCTCTACTAGCTTCCTTCCATTATAATCTGAAGTATAATTGATCCTTAAGCAAGAGCTTAAGTCCTCTCTTTGCACTGTGTTCTCTTTTGGTATGGTAACATTGCTTAGCACTGGTTTTGGGTTCCAGTATTTTCTACACCATTTGAATAAACAGGGACTTTTCTGGTATATCGTAGGAAACTGTAAAGCAGCTACATTAAATTAGGTTTTGTTTTGCAAGTTGTTCAGCATGGGTATGGAGCATGTATCTAAGCATAAAATTATTGTGCTATGTTGTATGGATTAGACTGGGGGGGTAGGAGGGTAAGATACGAAGAGACTGTATCCCACTTCAGTTTTTTTCCAGAATTTAAGGTACCTTGATTTCAGTTTTCATTCAAATCAGACTTCTCATCCAAATCAGGTTTTGCAGCATTTTATTTTTTAATTTTCAACTCCCTTCATGACTAGAAAACCATTCACTGGTGATAGTTCTCTTGTGGAAGTGGTGATAAGGAGATTGCATTACTGTGAATTAAATTCACAAATAATATAACCACACAATTTAAGCAATATGGACCATTGCATCACATGAATACTTTTAAAGTCCTTCCAATTTCTGATTGTCTTTGACACCTTTCATAAATGCTTCATTACCATTGCAGATGAAAACGTTCCCTGTTGGCAGTCAGTCTACACAGCATAATTTAACATATGATTAAGCTCTTCAAAGCTGTTACAAACTTGGTGTAAATCAAACAAATACTCTTTTACAGTTGTATGTCATGAGTGAAGCTGTCATGTTTAGGGGCTTCTTAAATTTCCTCAATACAGAGAAGTGTTTTGCTTTTGGAGTTGGGAATAGCGCATCGAACCAGGGTGAGTTGCACTGGGGGCTGCACACACACTGGTGGCAAACTGAAGCAGATTCTATGCTTAATCTTCACAGTTTGAATTGTACCACTTTTTAAAAAAAGAAGATAAAAAAGCATTTTAGTAGATATTTTTGTTACCCTTGAAAGACTATAAAAATGCCATTTGGATAATCCAGAATATTTGCCGAGTTTACTCTGTTTGCTGATGTGTTCTAGGGGACTGTAGAAAAGCAAACAATACCCCAGACAGTGTAACTACTGAGAACTTTTTCACGAGCTTAAAAATGTGGTGTCATGACATAAAGCAGACATTGGTATGTCATAATGTATTTTTGTTTCCTAAATTAGATGTTAAGCACACTGGAAACTCAGTAGAAGCTAGGAGATTCTGCCTCTGAGAAGAGATCTATAATGGATCATTGCGTGACAACGTGCCTTTGTGTGAGGCAGTGACCCCCTAAACCTTGGGAAAACAAAAGAAAAAGTGATGCCTGAGTCACATCTGTGAATATGTTACTGTGGGGTGATTTTAATGATTTCCAACTTTGCTGTAAGGAAAAGCTATTGCTATTTGTGTAACAGGCATTGAACTATAATATTTTGCTAGCCCAGAGGAATATGCTAGACTGCATGATTTTGGTTTACTTCATCTTAAAATGAGTGTGTTAGTCTGCTTGCTGCTATGTAAGCACCAGAGTTGCCTGTGCATTGAAGTTAATGAGAAAACTAGAGTGGGAGCTGATCACTATGATTTAAGATAACTGGTGGAAAACGAGCTGTGCCAGTTAATGCTTCTCTTTTGTGCTTTTCCGGTGACTTGCAGTGTTACCTTCAAAATCTGCTCATGTGTAACCTTTGTACTGTGTGTTGCTGATACTTATTTGTACTTGAATAAAGACTTCAGAATGCAGTAATGAAAAATTTTCTATTCTGAATGTGTGTTGATTGCTATGATGAAATAAATATTCAAGGAAAAAACTGATTTAGAATAAGGGTGCAAGGGTGAGAGGACCTGAATTTCCAATTGGGTTCTGGATGAGGTTAATTTCACCTAGTACTGTTTAAGTCTTTGGTCTGGTTACAGTCAGACATTGCAGTGCTCAGATAATCTTCCAATTTTCGTGTATTTGATCATTGTCTCATTCTCTTTTCCATGTGACTTTGGAATTATTTTGTGAGAGTTTTCTTATGAAAAAAAAAGTGTATTCCTTGCAGTTTTGCAATTTTTCATGCTGATTTTGAAGAGACTACAAAAATTGGATTTGTTTTTTTGTTTTGTTATGTTGTTGGTGGTTTTTAAGGATGTTCAGCATTGCAGGATAAGGGTTCTTCTCAAGGGAAGAATAAGAGAAATGTAGTAAAATTATACATTTTTTAAAAAAATATAAGCTAAATAGATATTCTTTTTTTAGCTTAGAGCAATAAATGTAGATCTCCAGACTGATGCTGCTCTGCAAGTGGATATCTCAGATGCACTCAGTGAGAGGGACAAAGTTAAATTCACTGTCCATACAAAGGTAAAAGCCTGCATTTGTATACCGACCATTTTCTTGATTATGTAAAAAATAAGGTTTTCTTGAACTGTTTGTTGAAAGTGTAACATAATCAAAAGGAACTGAGAAAGTAGCATTGTCTCATGGTTAAGGGACTGTGTAGCTGCAGTGCTTAAGAAAAAGTTGGCTAAAGAGAAGCTAAAAAGCTGTTAAGAAAAAAAAAGCGATGTTCTGTTTTTTGTACTCATACATTGTCTTGCCATTCCCATGCTTATTAATTGGCTTCTTTGCAGGTAGAATCTTTAATATACATCAATATTCTTCAGTATTTTATTTTTATTATCCATGGTTTCAGATTCTAAAAATGTATTTAATAATGGAATTATATTAAAGAGTAATTTTTAGTTACTGCTTGTTTATAGCTTTTCTTTTTTCTAGATATGCATGTTTATTGACTGCAGAATCACAGAATAGTTGAGGTTGAACAAAAATTTCTGAAGATTATTTAATCAGATATCCTCCCTCTCTGCCACCATTAAGTCGGGGTGAACCAGAGTGCATTGCTCAGGTCTTGTTCATTTGGGTTTTTATTATCTCCAAGGGTGGAGACTCCACAACCTTTTTGAGCAACCTGTTCCGATTGACTGGGGCACTAGTTAGGACGGGGTAATTATTACTCTACTAACTTTTTCTTGTCAAATCCTCACTTGGATGTTTGGATTATTTTTACGGGGGTATTTTTGTTGGTTTTCATATAATAATGAAAGACATGGTAGGTTTTGTTTTTTGGTGTGTGGGTGTTCTGTTGGTTTTGTTTGTTGTTTTTTCTTTTTTCATAATTCCTTACCCTTCTTCCCCTTCTAGAGTTCCTTACCAAATTTCAAACAAAATGAATTTTCTGTTGTCCGGCAACATGAAGAATTTATTTGGCTTCATGATTCTTTTGTTGAGAATGAGGACTATGCTGGCTATATCGTAAGTATTACAGTTCTTTTGGTTTCTGCGTGCTGTTTTCCATAGACTGGATCAGAAGTACTTATGGCTGCTTTCACATGCAATGGAAGCAGCAGATACTCCTAAGCATACACCTTCCTTCTACGATCAGATGTTCCAATACTTCATTTTGTGCAATTACAAAGAAGTAGTGGTTGAAGCAAGGTTGGAGGAAAGTTACTGTGGCAGTCGCACATTCTTGCCTTTCACTCATCATGAGTGAGTAGTTTAATCTGTATCCAAGTGTATTTTTAGTCCACTGTGTTAAAAGTGTGGGAGATAGGTGAACTGTATAACTTGGTGGTATTGTTTTTTGCAAGTTAATGTTTAACTTTGTTACAAGTTTCATATTGCTTTTGTATTAGCTGCAATGGCAGAGAGCAGTAACTGAGCTCTAGCAATCAAACTTTTTTTCATTATGAAGATCAGAATTATTTTGTCATAAATCAGTGGGAGAGGAAAAAAAACAACCAATGCAAATACCCTCTAGACTTACAGAGGAGCCTTAATACACAATTTAATCACTTACTTTTTGAAGTTTATTTCAGGCCTCTGGTGAACAGAAGTCCCCAAATAGTCACCTTATGATACTGGCTATTAAAAATGGGTGCTGCTGTTCATACTTTAATTGCAAATAGAAATATTTGTCATCTTGATATGAAAGTTAGGTATTCAGTTTGTGTTTGGAGGTCCCTTCTGATTCAGAAGGTAAACATATAATGTATCCACTAGTCAATTAAAAAGATGATGAATATAATCTGTGATGTGTCATACCATTCTTCAGTCTTTTTGAGTCAGAAAAGCTATTTGAAGTGATTAGACCTTCAGTGTGGTAATAACTAGTTTCAGACAGTTGCCTGAGTAGATACTGGATTGTTCTTTTTTTTTTTTTTTTTTTTAATAGTGTAATGGGCAAATATTGGTGAACTAAAATCTAAGCGTACTTCAGCTTTATTCTGTGTCCCTTTACTAATAGCAATTCATGATGAGTTTGACTGGTGTTTTCTCTTTCAGTGTTAATATACTATATTACAAGATTACCTAGAGAACTTTTTTACTGCGTCGAAATAACAAAGCACAGATTAATCTTTAATGTCAAGAGTGCTGCAAGATAGATCTAGTACCTGAAAACAATATAGAATGGGATGTTTTGGCTTACAGTTTTGGGGAGTTATAAATTGATAGTGTGAAAACAACTGTGGAATTCTTTTTTTTTTTCTTTAAACAAGAAACAATCTATACCAAATAAGCTAAACAAAAACTAATTATAAAATAATGATTTCAAGTTTTAATTCACTGTATTAGGAAAGCTAGGTATTACTTGGTTTCTGTTAATTAAACTACTGAAGCCATTAGTTAATCCTTTAGTACTCTTAAGGACACTGGGCCAAAATCGGTACAGTAATTCAGCATGTCTAACTCATGAACAAGAGACATTCTCCTGTAATGAATGAGGAAAGAGAGAAGCCCTATATTAAAAAGCTGCAGGCAGTCTATAGTTCACATACTGAATGGATGTTGTTTGACTGAGAAGATGAGCAGTTTAAAAAAAAATTGGATTCAATTCCAGATTCCACCAGCACCACCCAGGCCTGACTTCGATGCCTCAAGGGAGAAGTTGCAGAAACTTGGAGAAGGGGAAGGATCAATGACTAAAGAAGAATTCACCAAGATGAAACAAGAACTGGAGGCGTATGTAGACTTGATTACTTGATTACTACTTTTTTTTTTTTTATCCCTCAACTTTTAAAGCTGTTTGCTGTTTGCTGTCACGTTTCTGATTTCACTGTAAAGAGACTTGAGAATCCAGTTACTACATAACCAGGGTTATCATTATGATCAGAGCCATTAGGAAAATTGTAGAAATAATTTCATTAAAGATCTTCTGAAGCAGGAAAAAACAGCTTGTTCTTGAGCATTCTTTTATGAGGAAAAATATAGTTAGATCCTTTTCTTCACGGAACACCTGCAAAGGGAGGAGGTAACCTCTGTCTTTTTTGTTCTGGTGTTCCACAATTTATAAGCATAATAAAAATTTAAGGTTTAAACATGTAGTGGTTGAACTAGGGATTTTTGCCTGTGGTTGGGTTCTGTAAGCAGAGGTGCAAACAGACATGCCAACCTTCTGTTCACCAAGAAATAGCGAGATTGGTAAAAGATCCTTTTTTTTGACCTTTTTCTTTTTTTCTACAAGGAGAATATACTTCCTGAAAAATAGTATTTTCCCTTACTGTGAATTTAATACATATTGAAATATCTACTCTATGGCCTTTTGTTCCCTATTGAGTGAAGTTTCTCCTTGCTTCATCCACTTTTCATATCATGCATTCACTTCTTTGATCTTTTTCCTGTCATTGGTTTCAGTTTTCAAGTGTATATTTAAGCTGCCTCTAGATTGCTTCTGTCAAGAGCTCTGAATTGACAAGAAAAGTACATAGAACTCTTAGAACTGCTGCTTTCTCTTCAAACTCCAGCTGCTGTGAGCAAATGTCTTAAAAAGCTCTGTATTAGTGTTACATACAACATAATTTCTAGCAGAGTAGATATACACTTCATATGCAGAAAACTGGAAATTAGCAAAACACTATAGATTTTAAATAATCTGTGGTTTTCCAGCGGCCCTGATCATGATTCTCTTGTGGTCTGGTTAGGGGTTGGATAACACAGAAAACTTTGGGTTTCTTCTACTGCCACCTCCATCCTCTGCATCCTCCTTTTTTGTCTTCACTGAATGACTACTACTCTCACTGAGATCAAACATCTCCCAACACTGGCCCTGCTGGTTTGCTGGTATGTAAATCTTAACCTCCTTGCACATAGTGGAAGCAAAAGTGTTGATTATAATTTCACTATCTGACCTCAGAATGGGGAAGATCCCCTTCCTCATTTCTAGACAAGTTACAGCTTATTAATTGAGTTTGCAAAGCAAAATGAATTCTAGCAAACTTGTATTGATGAGAATGCCTTCTCTTAATTAAATCACAAATGAGTAATTGCTTTAAAGTTGAGTTGGCTGAACTGGACAATGCAATTTTTATTGTTGTTTTGTTGGGTTTTTTTGTACCTACCAAATGCAGCACTTTCACTTTTAGAACCACTATGAAGCAAGACATCCACATAAGCTTCAGCCCCAAAAGGCTAGATGCTTTGACGTGGAATAAAAGGCTACTATCTAAAAAGCTAACAGAACTACATGAACATTTAAGTAATAAGTAAGGAGGGTGCAAATAGGCAAGGGGATGGAGATGGGGAGGAAGGAATTTGCACATCAGCTACATAGTGCCTAGTGACTGTAGTCTGTACATCAATTTCCTGATTTTTGGGGAGCTGGGAAAAGAACAGTTAGATGAGGCTACAACTTCAGCAAACAGGTCTGTGTTAGCTAGCCTTAGAAATTAGAATGTATTTGTTGAGTCTTCATTAAAAGTCTCTCTGTAATGTGCTAGAGCTTCAAATTTCCCCCTAATATTAACATTGTACTGTTTATTTATGTATATACCAAATACTAGAGTGATAACCTCTACTATATCAGCTTACAGTTTTGTATCCTTACTGAGAATCTTTTAAAGCTGCTCACTAGGTTTGTCTTAAACTTGATTGCTTCTTGTGAAATACTTATGTCTGTCTTGTTTCTTGTTTTCAGTGAATATTTGGCAATATTCAAGAAGACAGTTGCAATGCATGAAGTCTTTTTGTGTCGTGTGGCAGCACATCCTATTTTGAGAAAGGATTTAAATTTCCATGTATTCTTGGAATATAATCAGGATGTGAGTATTGAAAACTGAACTGCTGGCAAGCGAAAACAAGATGTACTTTTATGGTAGAATGGAAAATTGATTAAGAGTGCTTTACCTCCTGGAGTAAATTGTATCAATTCCTTCATACCAGACATATTTGTATTGTAAAAGTTAGAAATTAGCCGTAGGAGTTCATTTTGCTACCACCTGGGGGATGAAATGCACTATATCCTCTAGCCTTAGAATAAAAAAATGGGAATCTGATATGTTTTGGATTTAAAAGATTAGCTTTTGCTGATGATTTCACATTATTATACTTGTCCACCCTTCAAATTTTGAGGTTTTTTTGCAGGAAAGAATGATGCAACACAGACAGAATGCTCATTTTTAGGATTTGGAACCATGATTTAAATTCAGTTGCTAACAAAGCTGGAGAGGTTTTCTAATGAAATGTTCAAGTAAAGCCTTTTTGTTCGTAATGTAGGTGAAAATTTCATGTTTTGTTTTTTATTCAAGATATTGCATTAGTGTGGCTATCCACGTGTTTCATACTGAGTTACTGTCTAATTTTGAGTTAATGGAGAGGTCTTCCTGTATTCATAGTGAGTCTTTGATGTTGGAGTTAATGGTTGCTCATAATCTGCTAACAGTTTTTAGTTGCTTTTTGAAATTGCAGAAATTGGCATTGAATGTTGAAGAAATCATCACAAATCTTGGCTCAACTGAGTACGTGCTTAACTTGAAAATATGTTACAGTGGAGCCTCTTGTTGCTTGATGTAGTAATGTTTACCGATCAGAAACTCAGTTTACCTAAATTGGGCAAGTTTAGATGGACAGGGAAAGCGAGAGGAGGCTGAAACCAGTGTTATCTTCACTGCAGTAGGAGGTAAATGCATCTGTAATTTCTGAAAGTTGAAGATTTTCCATTTTACACTTAAAAGAGCAAAGCCTGGTTATATTAGATGAACTCAACAGCTATACTGTGAGTGGTAGTGGAAACGTACACTTTGAACATTTGGGGATATCTGTAGGTGCTAGAATATTGCTGATTTTTAAAACTTATTTACTGGAATACTATTTTAGGTGATAAAGAACAGTCTAGGAAATTAGTCTGTCAATCTGTGTGCATGATGACCTGTCCCCATTAATGCAGAATATAAGACTAGGCAGAGAGCAGGACAACTGTTTTAGGAGTAGCAAGTTGTGGTTTGTAGGTTTTTTGTTTTGTTTTGTTTTGTTGGGGTTTGTTTGTTTGTTTTGGGGGTGTGTGGTTTGTATAAAACCAAAAAAAAGGCCTACAAAGATTATTAGGGCTATGAAGATGATTAGGGGACTAGAACATCTCTCTTATGAGAAAAGGCTAAGGAACTTGGATTTTTTGTAGTCTGGAGAAGAGAAGACTGAGGGGGAATCATATCAATGCTTATAAATACTTGAAGGGTGGTGGGTGTCAGGAGGATGGGGCCAGTCTTTTTTCTGTGGTGTGCAGTGACAGTACAAAAGGTGATGGGCACAAACTTGAATATAGGAAGTTCCATCTAAACATGAGAAGGAACTTCCTTACTTTGAGAGTGGCAGAGTCTGGGAACAGGCTGCCCAGAGCAGTTGTGGAGCCTCCATGTCTGGAGACATTCAAAACCCATCTGGATACCATCCTGTGCAACCTGCTGTAGGTGAACCCGCTCTGGCAGGGAGGTGGGACTAGATGATCTCCAGAGGTCGCGTCCAACCCCTAACATACTGTGATTGTGTGAAAAAAGCTTTTATTGCCTCCAGAAAATGAACTGACTTGATCAATGAATTTATTTTTCAGTTGAGCGTTCGTGGAAAAAATAAGAAGGAGAAACTTGAAGACTTCTTTAAAAATATGGTTAAATCAGCAGATGGTGTCATTGTTTCGGGAGTAAAGGTGAGTCCTGTTTAACTTATCAGGATTTAAAGTGTATTAACATTCTCGTCCCCTTTTTTTTTAATGAAACAGAATTTTATTTCACTACAAATAAGGGATTTTTGTAGTAATGTCTAACATAAGAATTAGAGGCAGAGCACGGGAAGGAACCTGTGAGCCTGGATGCAAGATAACTGAGAACTATCTGATTACACCTGTGAAAGAGGCCTTTCAGTACTCTTTTCCCTATTTTATAGTGTTAAGCATTTTTTTAATCCATAGATAATTGATAATCTGCTTTTTGTTCTGGCCTGTCATTTTATATAGTGGGAAGGTGCACAAGCTTTGACAACTCCTGCAGCTCAGAAGTTATTAACACAGTGTGAATTTTACCAGCCTTCCAGCATCCTCCTACTGTTTCAAAGCTAAGAATCATAGAATCATAGAACTATTCAGGCTGGAAAAGACCCTTGGGATCACCAAGTCCAACCATCATCCCTACTCTACAAAGTTCTCCTGCTAAACCATATCCACCAACAACCACATCTGAACGACCCTTAAACATATCCAGGGATGGTGACTCAACAACCTCCCTGAGCAGCCTATTCCAGTCTGACCACTCTTTCTGTGAAAATTTTTTTTCCTAATGTCCAGTCTAAACCTCCCTTGTTGCAGCTTGAAGCCATTCCCTCACTGCTTTTCCCAGTAGATGCAAGAATGTAACCAAGACAAAAGAATGAGAATCTTAATGAAAATTCCGTTTAATTTCAACTTTTCCAAAAGTTGAAAGATTGATTTTATAACAAGCATAAATTTTGCAGAAGATTATTTTGATCTCTTTTCTTTCTAATGGTAACTTTCCATTTGCAAACAAGTTAGAGGAGCTAAAGTCTGGACTGTTGATACTGCTGGAAAGTGGGGATAACCATGGATTAATTATGACTTGGAGAAAAATAGGAAGTCCAAATGACCAGCAGTTTCATAAGCACATTGTTCAAAGCCCATGTTGTAGGCTATTCCATGGTATTGCGCATCTGTGCTACTTCAGAGGTTTTAAAAAATAAATATAAACCAAATATCTCAAATTTAATACAGAAAATATTAAAATTTACCTACATTTTCCAACTTGAAAGAAATCTGTCTTCAAGATCAGCATTCCTGAGCTACGAGTTAATACAGTCTCTGCTGTGAATGCAGCATTTGTGCAACTGGGTGTGTTTCTTGCCCGCTCCCTTTTTTTAGGTAGATGTTCTTTTATTAAGTGCTTGAATTCTGTTTTTCTGTCACCAAAGTGGTAGTTAGTAGTGAAATTATTACCTTCACTTCAGGTTCAGTTGTCTAGACCTGTAAGGCACTTTTTAAAAATTCTTAAAACTTTGGATCATGATAAGTGAAGAAATCAGCTTGCTTGAATGGTGTTTTAGGAAGTAAAAATATATTGTATTTCATGTTAGAGCAACAGCAACATATGCAAATTTACTCTGAAATAGCTCTGAGTGAAATCCTGTTCTTTAAATTATTCTTGTTTTTTGTAGGATGTGGATGACTTCTTTGAACATGAAAGAACATTCCTTGTAGAATATCACAACCGAGTCAAAGATGCCTCTGCCAAATCTGATAGAATGACAAGATCTCATAAAAGTGAGTTATTTTTCCAAAGTGTTAATAGTACTAGTTAAAGCGTATGGAAGTATGTAGAAATAATTCTTAGTTTTCTTTTTGCATGTGAAAAGTGAATAAATTTCTCCAAGCATAGTCTTTTGTTAGTCTAAAGAAGTTTAATTTGTCTTTCATAGTTTAGCCTTTGCTGTAATAGACTAGATGGGGTAAGAACAGCCTGATGTGACACTGAAGTTGTCTTGTTCTTCATGCTGTCCCTCTGAAGAGAGGCTATGTAATAATACTTCTTTGGTTCTTAGTCTTTAAGGTGAAAGGTGTGTAATACAGAAGTATATGATTTTACTCCTAATGAAGCTGCTCTTGATTGGATGAACTTGCATTCATCAGAGTGCAATTTCTTGGCATGCTAGGCATTTTGTTAGCTTGCTGAGCAGCAAACTCCTATTTGGGCCATTAGTTCTAGTCCAGGAAGTCAGGTTTCCATTCTTCAGCCTTTTAGAATGAAAACTGAAGTGTATACATTTAGTGGCTTGGTTTGCAGGACCCTCCATGGGTAAGGATTCTAAGGTGGATGTTGAATGAGACATTAAACCAAGAATTTACTGACCTCTTCAGATGCTTCTCTTGCTGTTGCATGAAACCTGAGTCTTGTAGCCTTAGTACCTATTCTAGGAGATGGGAAGAGTCAGCTATTGCTTAAGGAAGCACTAAAGGACCCTGTGTCTTCATTCATTTCCCACCTGAAGTGCTTTCTGGCATTTTGTTTGCTTTTTTAAAATGAACACTGAACTTCATTCATGATAGCTAGGTCCAAAACTTTAGGTAGTAAGAGCACCTTTCACCAGGAAAATTGTTAAGAATGAGGTTTTGGAGCATCTGATAGGAAAGCATTGATCAAACTGGAGACAAAGCTTCGCTGGTTTTCAGGCTCAAATCACCTTGGATGTTTACTGACACGTTTTACCAAACTGTGAATCAAGGCAAATGGCACCTTTTGAAATTCTGACTAAAAGAGTAGAGCAATGACCTGGGAAGTCAGTTTTGGAAGTGGGCAATCTGTAGTTCGTGGATAACTTTATGATCAACAAAGAGCTGCAAGGCTTGCAAAGATACTGACCTTCTATTTACAGCAGAAGATCTATTTTTTTGTTTAAATAAGAGGACTAGAAGGGGAGGTTAATGGCTTCCTAATACCATTATTCACTGTAACCCCCTGCACAGACTGCCTTGGGGTATATGAAGTAATGAATTGGGTGGAAGGTGACCCACTCAAGCTGTTAAAACAAGATTGTGTTATTTAAAAAAACAAAACAAATTCTACTTAAATGCATATAAAATTCAGAAATAGCAAGGAAAAATATATTTTCCTGTTCAGTGCTGGATCTGTTAGCATCTTCATCATCGATTGAGTTTATACTAAAAGCTTTTTTAAAAAGCCATCTGTGCAAAGATTTGATTTTTATGATTACTGTCTAGCAATACCTTGCTCATCAAATCAGGCAGCCTTCTTTACAAACTCTGCTTCTAATGTTGTTGTTTAAAATGCTTTACCACTAATGCTACTTCAAGCAACCATCAGTGGTTGATGAGGTGAGGGTTTCCTGAAAATCAGGCGTGCACTAAAGAAGGTGCTGTGCGTATAGCAGTTTGTTGTGTGAAGTTACCCTTCATAATGAGGGACATGATTGAAATTTCATTTATGCTTTTCTGTTAAAGCATCTTGCTTTCCGAAAAACACCCACTCTTGAAGAGAGGAACTTCAAAATTTTCAGAAAGAAGAATGAAATAGTAAACCAAGTTCTTGTTTGTTTTTCTAGATGTGGCAGATGACTATAACAGAATTGGTTCTTCATTATATGCGTTAGGAACACAGGACTCCACAGATATATGCAAGTAAGTTATTATTAATAACTTAAGGGAGAATTTGATAAGTAGCAGTCTTAATGGAGACCTGCTGAGATAAGTAGCTTTCTTGTTATGAGAAAAACAGATTTTATTATCATTGTATTGGAGAGATTTTTTTCTCAAGTATTTTATTTCTACTAAAGAAGGCTGCTTTAGTATTTCTCTGGAAAAAAAAATACTGTTTTCTGTAATTTATAGAAAATCACACTGATGAGGTAGAAAAGTCCTCGCAAAATAAGAAAAAACTCCACCTCTTCACAATTTTTAAAAAATGTTTTAAGTGCTTTGACATGTGCAGCAAGAACAGGTCTCGGCGTGAGTATACTGATTTTTGTGGGTGTTCCCTCTAACATCATCTTGAAAAATAGTTTTGCTGTTCTGACAGTTTTACTGCCTTTAGGAAAAGAAAGGAATCTACAAAGATCTCTAAAATTTTGAAAGTAGTAGACGGTCTATATCCGGATGTTTCTCCTTCAATTTTTCAATGCTTTGTCTGAATATGAAATTTGGTTCATCTAAAAGTGAAACTTAGTTAACTAGCTTCAAGATTTTGATGCTTGTGAACATGTACACTTATTAGACTTAGTGGTATGAAAGGAGATGAGTATGAAAGTTAACTTTTTTTATTAATTGACCTGAATTAAAATGAAATACGTCCAAATGCGGTGATAGCTTACATATTGCTTACTTTGATTATAGTATTGAGATTTTATAGAGTCTGTTAGGATCTGTCAGGAATTACATCTGTCTTCTGTCTAAGTAGTGTGAATTGGCTGTAATTCAGTCTGCTGTTACACTGAACCCTTGTATTGTCTCCTGTGCTGAAAATGTGCCATGTTGTTGCCTAGCCTCCCTGAATTCCAAGTAGGGCATGTGTCGTGTTTACTGTGTGAAGAAAAGTACAGTCAAATTTGAGTGAAGGACACTTGATAATAGCACAGGACCATTAACCAGGGTGGTAGTGTTTGGGGTTTAATTTGCAGAAGCATAAAGAATCCTGTAGGAGCTGTGCAATTATTCTGTATAAAAAAACATCTATCCATTGTACTTTGTCCCTTACCTTTTCTGAAGTACAATTCCCAGATATTTGAAGTGCTACAATTTGAAACAATTATATTCTCTGAGTTCTAGGAAGTACAGTTCTAGTCAGTGCCTTTACAGCCTTTATTGTCAGACACAGATTATTTTTTGAGTTATAGAAAGTAATTAGACTGTTCAAATTAGTGTTGTAATATAAGCTGTTTCCTTTGTGCAGGTTTTTTCTGAAGGTATCGGAGCTATTTGACAAAACAAGGGTATGTACTATGCAGATTTTAGATATGTTCTTTGTGTAAATCCTGAAAGTGGCAGGACATTGTATGTCAATTAGATGTTAATATGTGGATGTTTTATGGATGCTTCTATTTGAAGCTGTTAAGCAATGAATAAAAAACCATAACATTTCAGTCATCTGTTCTGTAAAATGATTGATCCTGAGCAGTCTTCAGTCTACTAGACATTTCTAGGCAGTCTTCCTGTCTTCTGTGTAATATACTAGTAAAGCTGCTGTTCCACTAAAATGCTCAGAGGCCTTCCAGACTTGATACTGGGTGTCACAGAACTTGTTACGGCAAAAAGAAGTGCAATCCTTAATTGAGAAAATGGCAGCCATGCTGCTTTTTTCTGGAGTCAAGATCTGTTTCTTCAGTTATTTCACTTAAAAATACTATCACTGATGCTTCTAATCAGATTTTAAAATATCTTGTCTCTGTTACCATATTTATTTAGCTTGGTAGAGCATAAAATATATGCAGTGTGTCAGGAAAACCTTTGAATTAAAAATGTGTGCATTTCTGAAACACAGGCAGTTGTAGTTGCATAACTTAATTTTCTTTAAAGTACTTATTTAACAGAATTACTTGCTTTGACCTAAATGTTGCCTTTTATATTTTTTTAAATTAAGATTTTTAAAATGCAGTTGCAGACTCTTTCTAAAATCATACATGTCCATTCTAAATACAAGCAAATAAGTATATAAGTATTTTGGACCATGTAATGCATGCAATTACACAACTAGTCTGCAAAGTTGCCTTAAAAATTTGTTTTCCTTTGGTCTCAAAAACAACAAAACTTCTGTGCAACTCTTAAGTTTTTGTTTCTCTGCTGTTTTTCTAGTATATAATGCATATAACTGAAATTTGAAGAAAGCATTGTTTAAAATACATAGTTGTCAATTACTGCTTGCACAGTAGGCTATTGATTACATTTTAATATAAAATCCTAGTAGTCTTTCTCACAGCATTTTAAAGTACTGTGTCACAAATACCTGCTACTAGTTTTTGAAAAAAAACCAGTCTCATGTTCTGTGGTATGTTTTACATTGTATTTGCATCATACAAGTGAATACCCCAAGTGCAGATGTTTTTAAATTGATGCTTTTACTTACTCTTTTTCCAGAAAATAGAGGCCCGGGTATCTGCTGATGAAGATCTTAAGCTTTCTGATCTTCTGAAATATTATCTAAGGGAATCTCAAGCTGCTAAGGTGAATTGATTTTTTTTGTTCAGTGAAATAATGTTTTGTTTGAAAAAAAAAAGAAAAGAAAAGATAAGGGATCATCTTGAGAAGCACACAGTAGTTAGTTAGGTTAAAATGCTGCCACCTCTAGCAGGCAGTTTCTCCCACAACTATAAAACCTTTATCTCTGTTGTATATAAGGAGTAACCATGTAGTTGCTGACTGTGGGACTGAATATTTGGGACTGTGTGATCCATTTATCAAGGCCAGATCATGCACTATAATTAAAAACGGGAAGAGCTGCTGGTGAATTGTTCATGTGTTTACTGCTTGTAGATTGCCAGCAAATATATTTTTTTTGTTAATGATAAAAATGGATACTCCAGATGATCTGCAGGTGCTGATACAAAAACATGTGGGCCAAATTTGATATTCTGTACCTACAGAAGATGTCATTCTTAGTGTTCCTTGATGTAACATGATTAAGTAACATGACTAAAGAATGAAGCATTTGACAGAAAATCTCAGTAGTTAGAAGATCACAGCAATAACTGTTACACAAAAATTGCTATTGCTGTTTCTTGGGCCCTTCAGTTCAGTAATGTTTTCTAAATGTAGTTTGTTTCTTATTTAAGAATCTGTGAAATTTCCCATTTGTGTCTGTTCTTAGGTTTTTTGGAGTATCATCTAAGCCACTTGGTGTTAGCCTCTGTCAGACAAGATGCAGACCAAACAATACTAAATTATTTGTCTAATCCAGTATGGACATTCCTGTATCTTGCAGGTTGAAATAAAGTGAATGGAAGTAAAGTTATAAGAACTGACGTACAGCAAGAAAGGCTAAAATTAATCTGACTTTTTTTTCTTTTTAATACTTGTCATATTCTATAGTACTTGGGTAGAGTCTTGTAAACTCTGTACAGTCATTATACTTCTTGTTACAGGATCTCCTGTATAGAAGATCTAGGTCACTAGTGGATTATGAAAATGCTAATAAGGCATTGGATAAAGCAAGAGCAAAAAATAAAGATGTGCTGCAAGCTGAAACTACTCAGCAAATATGCTGTCAGAAGTTTGAGAAAATATCTGAATCAGCAAAACAAGGTATTTGGGTGGTCTTTAGTCCTATGTTACAACTTGAAAATAAACACATTTTAGGATGCTATTAATGATAATAGATGTTTACATTTGTTTCCTAAGCAGAACTAAGCATCAGTGTTTTTAGAAAGTTCAAATGATATTTTAACTTGGATCATCATAGCTACATTAGACAGAGCGATGTGTAGGTGCAAACTATCTGTTAACTACTTTTTAAATATGAATAGGATGGGATACAAAATAATAATTGGTAGCAGTGAAAGCAAGCAATCTTTTAAAGAATGATTGAAATTCCCCTTTTGGTTTTATGCATTCTTCTGTCAAAGCAACAATGTCTCACAGAGATGATACTACATTACAGAAGGGAGGGATCATGAAATGAGATTACATTGAAGTTACAGTAGCTTTAGAGAAAATTAACCTTATTTATGTGTTTCTTTCCTGGAAACTTAATCTTTTTTTAGGTTAAGGTTGTTGTGAGTTAAGAGTCATCTGACTCATTTGGGGCATATCTGTTCAAGGTTTAAGCACCATGCTCTTCTGTTTGTATCATTTAATTAAGGGAGTTGTTTGACTGTAAGTCTGGCCAATGCTTCCTATAAGTGGAGGATGAGTAATCCTATTGTCCATAAAGGTATATCCATAAAGCATATTTGCTTCCTCTGTTCTTCATGTTAGTTTTAGCTTTTTATCTTCCCTAGAGACTTTTATGAATTAGACTTGAAGGAAACCTCCTCATGGAATAAAAGAATTAGCTGTTTAAAAGCATCCACATTGCAGTCTTTTTTCAACAGCACTTTGTGTCCGTGGAAGGTTAGCTGGAGATGAGGAACTGTAATGATGTTTTGCGTTCATCCAACAGTGCAGCAGTATCTTTGATCCCGGAACGTGATGAGATGAAACTTTTTTTAAAAAGTTTTTCCTCTTGCCTTTTTTCTCTCTTTACTTATTTCATCCTGAAGGAATGTCTGCTAACAGTTGGCAGGACTAGCCGTAGTATGGTTAATGAATCCACTTTTATTTTTTATAGAACTGATAGACTTTAAGACAAGAAGAGTTGCAGCATTCAGAAAAAATCTCGTGGAGCTAGCAGAACTGGAATTAAAGCATGCTAAGGTAATTTTTGGCCTGTATTTAAACTGATTTCTGTTATTCAAGCATATAATATTTAAACTTACTACATTAGTTTTGTGTGATATGCACTCACATCCAGGAAGTTGAATATGAAGGTAAGCATCCTCCAGAAATGTGAACTTTCTTGAATAATAGAGAGAATAATAATAATTAAAAAAGTATAGATGAAATTGGCTTGAGATGCCTTTGGAAAACTCATCTTCTTTAAGATAATTTTGGCTTTAGGTTTATGTTTCTTTATTGGTTTATTTATAGCTGCACAGCTTGAATACCTGCTTATTTTTAAAACTGCATCTCACAATTTTACTGTGAGATGGGTTTCTCCTATAAGGAGAGAGGATGGTTCTCCTCCCCCTCTACTCTGCCCTAGTAAGCCCACATCTAGAGTATTGTGTCCAATTCTGGGCTCCCCAGTTCAAGAGGGACAGGGATATGCTGGAAAGAGTCCAGTGGAGAGCTGCAAGGATTATTAAGGGACTGGAATATCTGTCATATGAGGAGAGGCTGGAAGACCTGGGGCTGTTTAGTCTTGAGAAAAGAAGACTGAGAGGGGACCTTATTAATGTCTATAAATATCTGAAGGGTGGATGTCAAGAATGGGCCAGTCTTTTTTCAGTGGTGCCCTGTGATAGAACGAGAGGAAACGGGACCAAGTTACAACATAGGAAGTTCCACCTCAACATGAAGAAAAACTTCTGTTCTGTGAGAGTGATGGAGGAGTGGGACAGGCTACCCAGAGAGGTTTTGGAGTTTCCTTCTCTGGAGACTTTCAAGACCTGTCTGGATGTGTTCTGGTGTGATCTTTCCTATGCGTTCCTGCTGCAGCAGGCCAGTTGGACTTGATGATTTTCAGAGGTCCCTTTCAACCCCTATGATTCTAAAATTATCCAGATGTTGGAGACTTGACGTGTAGGATAAGCCAACTATTAAGTGTGAGATCACGCAGGCCTGCCCGAAGTGAGATCAGCATTACTCTGTTTTTTGAACCTTTTTGGCTTTAAAGTGCTACTAACACAGGAATGTTGCAGGTAGCCTCTTCAGTAAAATAGATTTTTGCAAGAAAAAAACTTTTAGGAGGCCTATACTATCCTTCAACTTCACAATGTATTTGATTCTTTTAATCCAAATAAAATTAATGCTTTTTATTACATCAGGTTAGCTACTCTGCTTTAGTAGAAAAATACAGGTCTCTTTAACAGTCCTATAGCAGGAGGTGGCTTTCTTTAAAAAATCAACTCTTCAGCATTTCTCCTTCTCATCACAAATCTGAAAGTGCATTGACTGGCAAGCTTTGAATTTACTTGGAATATATCTGTTGAAAGGACTAGTTAAGAGGTGTACAGTGTTGCTCAGTTAACTTGTTGCTGCTTTACAGTCTTTTCAGTAATGTTGACAGTGTTATTCTTCTATCTGCCAACATCCCATTGTTTGTAAAACTAATGCAGTGTAAAAAAGGTTGTTGTGGGGACTTTTTATTCTTTGTAGGTGTAAGTTCAGTTTGGTAAAGTGGTCAGTAAGGTCTGGAATATTTGGTTCCTTTTTTAGATAAGGAATGCTTACTTTAATGTGCTGTATCAGAAATTCAGCTATGTTTCCCCTATTCTTAAAACTTCTCATAATACTGTCTACGTCCAGCCCTGAGTCTCCCAGAAATCCCCATGTTTGGTCATGATTGTGCTGGTTATTGTTTTTAGTGAAATTAATAGTTATAACAGTCATACTTGGAAACATGTTTATTGATTTAACATATCATGCTTCAATAAGGGAATGAATCCACAGGTCTTGCTTCAGTCACTGTTTCTTCACTCTTGTCTTGTAACTGACCCTTGCTGAAGTCCTCACAGGCCTCGGCAAGGAATGCTAAAATGTCTTTGTCTTCAACTTTGACAGCTAATAAATGCTGAAAGCAGAGGGGAAATGCTTAATTTCTGTAGCTTTTAGCTTACTTGATATGTTCTTCTTGGTGTCCTCAGTTTACTTGGAAAAGCTTGAATTTTTTAGCAGTTCTTCATTTGTCATCACAGCCTGTGTTTAGGATGTATTTCTTCAGACAGCCTGTGACTTACCTTGTCTTAGTAAATTGGCTACCAAAGGAGTATATAAGACTGTAATAGAAGCTTTGAACTGTAGTCCTGTTTTTGAAGGTGACTTGTTTTTGCTGATCCTTATCACAGCACTGTAAGATTCACTAGACAGTTTTGAATGTTAAAAGTTTGACAGTATAAAAGGTAATTTTTTACTAAGGGTGACAGTTATTTAAATGTTAACAAATGTTGTGACATGTTGAAAGGGTTTTTTGTTTCTCACTAGGTTTGAAAGTTCTGGTTTTTTAAAGCCTGTGTTTTGTATTTATTCAGAAAAAGCTACTACGGATAGATTAGGTTGGTTGCTGTGCTTTTATTTGTAGAGGTTCTGAGTTGGATTGTTACAGAATTAACAAGTGCAATAGATAATATTCTTCAATTTTACATACTGTGAAATGTTCTTATTAATGCCATAACCAGCATATTTGAGGATAGTCTTATGGATAGGTTTTTATTGGTCTGTGCAGAGTACTGAAGTATTAAATGCTTTAGTGGAGAATTTCTGAGGTAGTACCATAGTGGAATATGAAGGTTTCTTCGTGTCTTGGAGAGGACATCTTTATACTTGTTGCAGTGCAAATCATGAACAATGTTCCTATTTCAGGGAGACTAAGAAGCCCTAGTTTTGACTGGACTAAGCTGCGCTGTTTGTAGACACTTAATTCCTTTTGCAATAGAGCTAAAATAGGGCTGGTAAAAACACAAAGAAAGCTACTCTTTCTTATGGGCTATGAATTAATGAAGTTTGATCAAAAGCCCCCTGCTTTAAGGGTCTGGACAAAATACTTTGCCTGGTTTTGTTGCTGTCTTAATGCTTTTGCAGCTACTGGGAGGTAGGTGAAGTCTTAGCAGCCCCAAGCTGGAATTGGGTTGGTTTGTCAATAGCGTGTGGAGCACAGCACTCCAGACTTTGCAACATGACCTGTTACTTGGGTATAAGTGCTCTTTCCAGCAAAAAAGCTAACAGGAGCAGGGGCTGGGGGCTACAAGTCTTCTATTGTAGTTTGTTTTGTTTTTCTGGAATGAGTACCTCCAGGCTAGATGTCATGTAGATGCATCTGTCTCTGAATCAGTCCAGTCATGAGTCTTTCTGACATGGCACAGAAAGCACACAGGAGAAATCTGTTGCAGCAGTTGGTGCTGGAATTCACCTGAGAGGCTGTCTTTGGGAGGAATTCAGCCACAATGAAGGCTGCTGCATGACTGACTGTTGAAAGTTATTTGCTCTGTGTGCAAATAAAAACACAGATCCCAAAACTCAGAGATGGCTGCACTGAAGAAGTTAGAATGACCAAGGGTGCTGAGAAATAGGTCGCATTTCCTGAGTTTTATGTGGCTGTGTGGCTCTCGAAGACTGGAGGGTGACAGGGAAATCCAACTTTTACTAAAGCAAGGACACTGTATATACAAATATTAAGTGCATCCTCTCTGTCCAGTTATGTTTATGCTACTTCCTTATAAAATATTTGTTTTAATCTGCTAATACCCTCTTATCCTTTCCTGATTGCAGCTCAAGACTTTTGAAAAAGCTAAAAATCTGACTGTGGATTGAGATTGCTTTGAGTTGATGCAAGTGCAGACTACTGCCAGGAAGGAAGATGATGCATGACTGTTCCTTTCCTTTATCTTGGCACTATTATGTGTGCAGCTGTGTAGTAAGATGAAGCTAAAACTTGCTCTGGATTTTTCTTAAGCTTTACTTTCAGTCTTGTTTTCACAGCATCCTTGTGTCAAAACACACAATTTTTGCTAGGAGTGACTGGAAATAAGAGAGAGCTGCTTTCTTACTAGCAGTATGTGCTGTACATCTACTTAAAAATCTGCCAAACTGCAGCTTTAGATTCTGCTTGGTCTGTGGCATACACTGAACAGATTGATGTTCCTTTTCTGTGGCCGTTTTGTCTGACTGTCCCTCTAGGTAGTGTTTAGCTTCTGGTTTGCTGTCTCTGTGTTTCTTCATGACTTCATGCAGCTGTAGTTTGATTAAGTGTTTGGGCATTTAGTGCAAAAGCCGCATTTAAAGCAGTATTTTAAACAGCAGGATTTTAAGGTGTCCTTGTGTGTTGGATTTCATGTTCAAGAAAGGAGGTTTGGTAGCTAGTGAAACTGCTAAGTTTATAATCATATACTTGAAGCATTTATAGCCTTGGTGTTACGTCTTTAGAGTCTTTTGACATTATTATTATTATTATTATTATTATTATTATTATTATTATTATTTGACATTAATTTTAACTTAGTAAGATAGCTACCTCCTTCAAAAACAAATCAAACCATATTTTTCTACAAATTTTTACACTCCTGCCTCTATATGGGTTTTTGTGTAAAAAATAATTTATTGCATTACTAGCAACAGATGCCCGTTTGGAACTGAGAGGAGAAGTAAGCAAAATCCTGTGCTAAGGGATTTGATTAAATGTTTTGTCAGCAGTTTTTTCCTGAAAAGAATATTTCTGTCACCATAGTTCTGCTAATAACTGTAATACCTAGAGCTTAGGAGTCCAAGTTGCCAAGGAACACTTTTGAAACTGAATTTATAGGACTTTCTTGAGCTACGTTGATACAAGTCAAGGATGTCAGATGTTGCAGCCAGAAAGAGTAATGGCTTACAGCCTCTGTCCTTGTTTTATTATAATTTGAATAAGGTTGTTCTTGTGAACTTTGTAAATTTGATTTAATGAAAATGAATTATTTGCCTGTTTGAAAAATTTCAGTAGAATGACTGGCTGAGTCTTGAAATAACTGATGTGTAAAGGGCATCTGTTCTTTAGAGTGCTACATAGTGTCCTGTGAATTGCAAGTATACTTCATGCTGCTGATGGGGGATGGCCAAAAAGTCACCCTCACACTTTTGTTACAGGTGACATGCATGCAGTCCACAATTATACTTCAGTCTGAAATATTCCTTTTCAGTCATTACTTCATTGCAGCTAATAGTTGCTGTTTAATAACAGAGAACTTAGATTTATGAATCTTGTACTCTACAAAGATGGGCCACCAAGTCCCCATATATCTCATGTATATTCAACTTGTTCGTATCACAGAATTACAAGCCTTTTAAATGGCTTGTGACTGTCCTCTGCTAGTATAAGCATAAAAGGACAAAAAGCTGTTGAAGCTCCAAATGAAGTCATGGTGTTCTGGAGAAGTTTGAAAAGGATACAGTAGACATAACTGGGAATCTTCTACTTTGAAGCCTTTAATTTAGTTAATTGATTTATCTGGATTAGAAGAACCTTAATGGGGGACAGAATTATGATTTCTTACCTTTTTTTTGGGCTAAGGAATGAGTATCCTTCAGCCTGTCTGCTGCAGGTCATTTGGAATGCTTTGACCTTAAAAAGTAAGAATTAGAAATTCTTTAATACTTGTGTGGACTGTTTATCAAGTACATGCAAATCACAGCTACTGATACTGTTAAGCTTTTGTTTGTTTGAAGTTTTCTTCATAGGTTTCTTTTTCGATTAAAAAAAAAAAATTAGAAGGAAGTATGTCTATAACTGGGCATTTAGACTGTTGTTCTTGCATTTTATCTGAACCTGATAGGAATTACTCTTAACACTGTCAACAGCCTAACATTGTTTCTTACATGGAGATTTCAGGTTTGGGAACAAATCCACTACAGCCCTTTAAAAATGAAGAGCCAGTAGTTTAAAGTGATCTAAGCATACATGAATGCACCAAAAAATGTGAATAACCAGGGTTTTTTTTTTTGTGTGGGTGTGGTTTTTTTGGTGTGGTTTGTTTTTTTTTCTTTCCTGGAAAGTAAATCCTGGTTGCATTTCCTTAATTCACAAGGATATCTCTTTAAGTGTCAGTTCTGTAAATTCATTCTGAAATCTGAAAGTCAACCTGTATATTTTTATGGTGGGGTCAGGATGCTTTAAGTAAGATTAAAACCTGACCTATAGGTGTTTGAAAAGAGGGCAGAATTTGGCTTTAGATATAAAGCATAGTTTTGTTTTGATAATCAGTTCTGCAGCTCTAATGGCTCTAATCAACTCAACGTTGATGGCTAGATCACCTGTCTAAGCATGTAAACCAGTCTGTTGTCTTTCAAACAAGGCCTGTCCTTGAACAGAGCTATGAGCTTGTATGGCTGCTATGGCAAGGAAATACTGGGTGCTGTGAATTGGTGAACACTTCTTGATCAATTAAAAATTCAACATACTATAGGAATACTTCTGCTTTGGGAATAATATTCCAGTGACAAAGTAATGGCAATGCTATGAAAACTTATATATATGCATATATATATATGAATATATATATGAATATATATAAATATAGATATGAAAACTTATTACTTTGAGCTTCATTGCTAAGACAGTGTTTTGCAGTGAACAGTTTATTTTGGCCACACTAGATCTTTAGTAAGAAACTTGTGAATAACATGGGAAGGGTACTAAATGCTTATTTTTAATCTCAGATTGCCTCCATTTAGTTCCATGACACAACTCTCCTACATTCAAAAAATTCTGTAAGATTTAAGTTAAATACATATTTCTGCATAAGCTTAATACTTATCTGTTGTTATTTAGGGGTGTCATTGCTATTAAAAACCACATTTTTGCCACAAGCATAAAAGAAATTAGGGAAATGTGATCACAATTATTTTTTTTTTATTATTTTTACAGGGCAACTTACAGCTGCTGCAGAGCTGCCTGGCAGTGTTAAATGGTGACACATAAGCTTTGCTCCATCCTCCCACTAACAAGGGCTGCCCTCCTCTGGATTTTGTTTTCATTACTTTAAATAGGCATTTATACTTCCCTGGAGAAAACACTTGACTAAGTGCACATGAACAAGCTCCTGCTTTCAAAAGAATTAAAACAAGCACCTGAAAGTAGCTCCAGACTATATGAAGCAACAGCATACTTGTTATACATACACACTTGTGTTTATTTAATCATGATATGCTTTCATTGTTCAGAAGCCAAATGCTCTGTTTTCGTGAAAATAGCCAATATATTTATGTTCATGTTATGAATACTATGATACGGCTGCCAATCTTATTTACCTTTGTAAGTAATTTCTGAAGTTTACCATTTGAAGCACAGTGTTCAAATGGCCTAAATATTACCATTAGATATTTGAATATTGTTACTATAATGACATTGTATACACTGTCTTAGTTTTTTTCCCCATGTACTGATATAAAAAACCTTAATCTTTTTTTCAATTGTGAACATTTCTTAGAAATTTTGGAGAACTTTGTGTAACCTTTATATAACTATGATTTAAAAAGAAAAGCAAATGCATTAGTATGTTTGCCTTAACTTGTAGACTAATCCAATTATTGTAAAATAAACCATGAAATCCAATGATTTTTCTAAAATTATGCAGACATTGTATCATCTGTAAGCTTAATATTTTCTAGTAAATCAGATTAATTTAATTAGGTTTTTTCTCTATTCATCCTGTAAAGCCATTGAGTAAGTATTGGATTGGTCTGACACAAAGTACTCGCCCAGTTATATTTCTCACTTGCATTCTCAGGTTTATCTGTTTGCCTGTCAGTTTGTCTGTGACTTTCCCACCCAGTGTACTTAAACTGTTTTGAACTAGGTGGCTGACTCTGCAGTTTCTTTGGCAGAAATACTTTTCAGAGAACTCTGTGGGTTTCTTTCCAGAAAGGGGAAATAAAGTAGCAGAAAGGAGTTAAAAGTGCATTAAATACCAATGAAAGGTCATGCTGCCCCACTTTGATACAGGTAAGAAGCTTTGCTTCAGATTATAGAAAGTACAGCCTGAAGAGGATCTCATTCAGCTGACTGGACGTAAGACTTGGGGCTGTTAAGTCCAGTTGCATTTGTTGTATTGCTTTGTGTCTTTTACTTGAACCATGAAACTTTTCCAAAAGGTGCTGTTGTGTAATTTCCGGGTGTCATAAAATTAGTCTCTACTTAATTACTTTTCACAATCAGATTGCTGCTTTATAATGGGTTTGTAGACCTTTGGTAGAGCAGCATAATTTTGGGAGAATGGGATGCTTGGGGATGCCAGTCAATGTCTCTGTGATTAGACTCCCCATACTGCTGCACAGAGGTGCGTGGCTTGTCTTGTGGTTGTTTTTTTCCCTCAAATTGGATGAACTTCACAGCACAGTACACTGGCCCATCTGACCGTTTCCGAGGCAGAGGTTTCTGGGCTGGAGGTGCCGTTTGCCCTCCGTGAGCAGCGCCCGGCGGCGGCCGCGGCTCCTCCACGGTAACACTGTGCTGTTCATCTTCCAGACATGACAGGTATAATTCCTAAGGAACTCACCTATAAATAGGCTATAAGGGAGAAAGATCACACGATGTATATATAGAGTTAAGAAAATTGTAAATATTTTAAGTAGGACGTGGGAACATTTTTTAGCTTAGTCCTCGTTGTTCGGTGTTACTCGCTCATTAAATTTTTTTCAAGCCTCTTGGTATCGGGTGTGTCTCTTAAAGCTCCGCCCCTTGGCTCCGAAATGGCGAAGGAAAATGCTTCAGACGGATCCCGCGGGGTTAGAGCTGCGAGGGCGTTAATTTCTTCCATCCCTCTGGAATCTCTTCAGCACAAAGAGTCTTACTGGGTTTGTGCTTTGGGTTCTTTTTTTTTTTTTTTTTTTTTTTTGAGAAAACCCTGGAA